AACAATTAAATTGTTGCAATAAAATATGGCAAATAATTAATAAGCGGATTAGACATATTTTTTCAAGATCAATTAAAAATTGGAAATTTTACACTACAAAAAAAAAAAAAAAAATAATAATAATAATAAATAAGTAAATAAAAAAAATTAATTAAAAGGGGGTAAAATTCCCCCAATTTGGAATTTATAAATTTTAAAACATCCATAGCTTTATTTTATTTTGTAATAAATGGAACATTTTTGGATTAAAAACAAATTTTCCCCGAATAGGGAAATTTTTCCCGAAGTGAAAAAAATTCTCCCTTTTTGCGGAAAATTTCCCCAAAAAAGAAGTTATAATCTTTGCAATATAAATAGTGATTGGATCAATTAAAAATTTTGAATTTCCGGGAAAGGGGAACATTTTCCCGAAGTGAAAAAATTCTCCCGTTTGGCGAAATTTTTCCCAAGGAAATGAATTAAAAATTGGAAATTATCCACTTATTTTATCAAAAAAAAAAAAAAAAAAAAAAACACACAAAAAAAAAAAATAAAATAAATAAATTAATAAAATGGGGAAAAATTCCCCCAATGGGGAAAAAATTCCCCTAATGGGGAATTTATAACTTTACAAATTTTCATAGCTTTATTTTATTTTTTGTAATAAATAGGAAATTTTTGGATTAAAACCAAAATTTTCCCCATAAAGGGAAATTTTTCCCCAAGTGAAAAATTCTCCCTTTTGGCGAAAAATTTCCCCAAAAAAGAATTTTTAATTTTTGCAATCAACATATATGATTGGATCAATTACAAAAATTGGAAATTCCCTGGAAAGGGGAAAATTTTCCCGAAGTGAAAAAATTAATTAAAAATTGGAAATTTTAACAATAAAATAAATTGATTGGAGAAAATCCCCTTAAATGGGGAATTTATAAATTTTAAAATGTTCTAATTTCTGTCGTAAGGAATTTCCCCCGAAGTGAAAAATTCTCCCTTTTTGCAAAAAATTTCCCCAAATTTATAATTTTGCATTAATAAATTGTTGCAATAAAATATGGCAAATAATAAGCGGATTAGAAATATATTTTTCAAGATCAATTAAAAATTGGAAATTTTTTCTCATTAAAAAAAAATAATAATAAAAATAAAATAAATAAAATATAATTAAATGGGGAAAATTCCCTTAGAAGGGGAATTACAATTTTTAAAATGTTCAAAGCTTTATTTTAGTTTTTTTGTAATAAAAGCGAAATTTTTGACTTAAGAAAAAATGTTTTCCCAAAAGGGGAAATTTTTCCCGAAGTGAAAAAATTCTCCCCATAGGCGACAAATTTCCCCAAAAAAGAATTTTTAATTTTTGCAATCAATATACATTGATTGGATCAATTAAAAATTTGAAATTCCCGAGAAAGGTGAAAATTTTTCCGAAGTGAAAAAATTCTCCCGCTTGGCGAAAATTTTCCCAAAGAAATGAATTAAAAATTGGAAATTATATACTTCAAAAAAAAAAAAAAAAAAATAATAATAATAATAATAAAATAAATTGATTGGAGAAATTTTTCCCGAAGTGAAGAATTCTCCCTTTTGGCAAAAATTCCCCAAAAAAGAATTTTTAATTTTTGGATCAATTAAAAATTTTAAATTCCCGAGAAAGGGGAATTAAAAATTTGAAATTCCCGAGAAAGGGGAAATTTTTCCCGAAGTGAAAAATTCTCCCGTTTGGCGAAATTTTTCCCAAGGAAATGAATTAAAAATTGGAAATTATCTACTTCAAAAAAAAAAAAAAAAAAAAAATAATAATAATAATAATAAAATAAATTGATTGGGGAAAAATCCCCTTAAATGGGAAATTTATAAATTTTAAAATGTTCTAATTTCTGTCGTAAGGAATTTCCCCCGAAAAGGGGAAATTTTTCCCGAAGTAAAAAAGTCTCCCTTTTGGCAAAAAATGTGCCCAATTTATAATTTTGCATCAATTACAAATTTTCCACTCCAATAAAAAAAATGTTTTTTGACTTAAGAAAAAATTTCCCCCGAAAAGGAAAATTTTTCCCTTAGATGGGGAATTGTAAATTTTAAAATGTTCAAAGCTTTATTTTATTTTTTTTTTTTTGTAATAAAAGCGATATTTTCCCAGAAAGGGGAAATTTTCCCCGAAGTGAAAAAATTCTCCCCATTGACGAAAATTTTCACCCAAAAAAATTTATAATTTTTTGTGAAAAAATTCTCACTATTGGCAAAAAAAAAATTCCACAACGAAGAACATTATTAAAAAAAAGGAAAAAAAATTCTCTTGGCGAACATTTTCCCGAAGTGAAAAAATTCCCTCCATATATTTTTTTTATATTTTCCGACTTTTATGATTTATTTTGCTTTATTTTTTCACAAAATTTAGGCAAAAAGTACAAATTGTTCACTTTGTGAAAATGTTTCTCAAAGTGAAAAAATGACCCCTAGAGGAAAAATTCTCTCATTGTAATTTTTTTCATTATACCCTTCACCACACTGTGGTACAGGGTATTATGTCTTTGTGCATATGTTTGTAACAGGCAAAAATAATCGAGATAGACCCATGGTTCCTTTTGAGAATATGCATAGAATCACATTCTGAGTCGATTTACGCATGTCCGTCTGTCCGTCCGTCCGTCCGTCCGTCTGTCCGTCTGTCCGTCTGTCCGTCCATGTATTTTTGTGAACAAAGTACAGGTCGCATTTATGATCCGATTTGGATGAAATTTGGCACAGATTACTTAATTGGCCCAAGGACGAACCCTATTGAAATTGGAGAAAATCGGTCGACGTATAGGCATAGCTCCTATAAAAGGGTACCCCCAAATTTTCGGTATTTTGAGGTTCTTGAGCTCGTTTTTTAATTGAATTCGCTGAAATTTGGTACTTTGGGTTCTTATTGGGTAGCAAATCTCCCTACCAAAAATTATAAATATAGGTCCATTTTTTCGGATAGCTCCCATAAAAGGGTACCCCCAAATTTTCGGTATTTTGAGGTTCTTGAGCGCGTTTTTTAATTGAATTCGCTGAAATTTGGTACTTTGAGTTCTTATTGGGTAGCAAATCTCCCTATCAAAAATTATAAATAAAGGTCCATTTTTTCGGAGAGCCCCCATATAAGGGTACCCCCAATTTTCGGTATTTTCGGGTTCTTGGGCACGTTTTATAACGGAATTCTCTGAAATTTTGTACATTGGGTTCTTATTGGGTACCAAATTACTCCACTAAACATTATACAAATAGGTCCAGTTTTTCTGGTAGTCCCCATATAACGGTACCCCCAAATTTTTGGTATTTTGGGGGTTCTGATCGTATTTTTCGACCGAATTGACTGTAATTTAGTTAGTCGAGTTCTTATTAGGTAGCAAATCTCTCCACTATAAATTATAAATATTGGTCAATTTTTTCTGGTATCCCATATATAAGGGTACCCCTCAATTTTCGTATTTTGAGGTTCTTGAACCAAATTTTTTTTATACCCTTCATCACACTGTGGTACAGGGTATTATGTCTTATGCATATGTTTGTAACAGGCAAAAGGAAACGGCATACACACTTTTGAGAATATGCATATGCGATTTAAGCACGAAATTTGGCACAGCGTAACAAATTAGCCTAGAATGATGTGTGTTAAGTTTCCTGAAAATCGGTTCAGATTTAGTTATATATCTTATATATATTTTCGTCCGATTTAAGGTAAAGTGTGCACAAAAGTCCCTATATATCTCTCGATTTGCACTAAATTTGGCTCAGCGTAATGAATTGGGTCTAGATGTGTGCTAAGTTTCCTGAAATCGGTTCTGATTTAGATATAGCTTCTATATCTGACCAAATGAACAATTTAGTATCGGTTGCAGAATGACGTGTTTATGGTTCCAAATTCATTTTACTGATCCGTTAAAAATGCGACGTCTGTTAGGATTCATCTGTTGAATATACTCAAAGTGGTGAAGGGTATCATAAAGTCGGCCCCGTCCGACTTTACTACTTTCCTTACTGGTTTTTATGATATTTTTGCAGTTAATAAAAGTTTCCCATTATGGGAGACAATTCAGATTTGGATTTTTTTTATTTTTTAATTGTTTTTTCTGATTTTTTTTTATTAATTTTTGACTTGGTGAAAATTTTCGCGTAGTGAAAAAAATTTCTCAATGCTCTCAATTTCTCGTTTAGAAAATTTCGAATTTTTACGTTATTTTCCACAAAATATAAATTTTTGACTTGGTGAAATTTTTTTCTAAAGTGAAAAAATTCCCCTGGAGGAAAAATTCCCCCTTGAAAATGGAAAAAAAATCTCCCAATACGGGGAAAAAATTCTCATTATGAAGAAAAAATTCTCTCAAAAAAAATTAAATTTTCGGAAATTGAAAAAAAATTCCAATTTTCAATTTATAAAAATTTTCCCCTGAAATAAAAAAAAATCTCCCATTACCGGGGAAAAAATTCCCTTGAAAATCGAATTTTTTCAACATCATTTTCTGTAATCAAAATATCCCTATCACTCTTTTTCATTTGAGTTTATAAAAAAATTACTCGGAAATTTTCCCGGAAAAAAAATTTCCCCGGTAAATGAAAAAAATCTCCCATTACGGGGAAAAATTCCCTTAATTTTTTTTCGAAATCTTCGATTTTATGAAGGAAAATCCTCGAAAAATTGAAAAAATAGTTTTTATAAAAAGCATTTTCCCGGAAAAGAACTTTCCCCTGATATGGGTAAAAATGTCCCTCGAATTTTTTTTTCGGTTTCTTCCGCTAAAATTTTTAAAAAATAAAATTTAGAACTTTCGATTTTATAAAAAATCATCGGAAAATTATATATTTTATAAAAAATTTTCCCGGAAAAATGTTTTCCCTTTTATGGGGAAAAAATTCCCTCCAAAAAAAAATTTCGAATTTTCCCCCCAAATTTTTGAAAAAAAAATTCTAATAAATATTTTTCCTCTTCTTTCCAGCTATCCAATTGAAAAACTCTAATTTTCGAATTTCGTCTACCCCGCAACACTTCACTTACAATGAAGGCCCTTAGCCTAGTGCTATTGGCTATGCTGGTACCATGGAGTACCGGTTATAGTTATGGACGTGTTAGTTCCTATGGTGGCCAGGGTAGCTATGGCTCTGGTTCATATGCCTACGGAACATCTGGTGCTGGATATGGTTCCTCAGCGTCGACTTATGGTTCGGGAAGTGGTTATGGTTCAGGCTACAACAGTGGTTATGGCAGCGGCTCCTACGGTTCAAGACGTTGTGATGGTACCTCGTGTTCGTTTGGCAGTAATTCTGCCTATACCTCATCAAGTCAAACATCGTCGTCCTCGTCTTCGTCAACGACTTCATCGGCTTCGTATAGCTCGTGTTGTGCCCTGAACTCCTGGGCCCAGCAATATTTGGTGGAGATTCGTGAATTCTCGGCCCGTTTGAGACAGGAATATAATAGTTTGATGACTGGATCCGGACATGGTTATAGCACCACCTATACACCGTGGTCAGGTAAGAAGAGGGGGAGGACAGATTTTATTTTTTTGAAAGGAGGATTTTAATTTTTGTTTTTTTTTTCTTCTGTAGAGCGCATCATCAGCTTGACCGGCAAAACCTCGGGCGAACTTGATGCCATCTGCCGCCTCCAGGCTGAGGAATTGCTGCAGGACAAACGCAGCGGTGCCCTGAGCTACCAATTGATTGCCCATCCCAGTTTCTTTGAATGGAAATCCTCGGAGGTGTTGTACCGTTACTACGCCGTCGATAATGGCCAACAACAGCAACAAACTTTGGACCTGGGCTTTAAACCCGTCGATTTGAGCAGCTTCGATGATGTCAAGACCTATAACTACCCCACAGAAGTTAAGGTTATCGATGGCAAAACCTATGTGGTCCACAAAAATGTTACCGAGGCCCATAAGACTTCCGGTACCGGAACCTTGGATAACCCCTATGTTACCCTGATTAAACGCAATCGTACCATTATTACTAATGGCCCTGCAGGTGTATATTCTACCCCCAGTTTGGGTTTCACCACAGGATCCTATGTTGTGCCCAGTTCGCCCAGTGTGAGCTATGGCCCCGTAGGCACCACCACAGTGACCCGCAAGAAGACCGTCTACGATTGGGCCAATCAAAATATGGAACCCAGTGTTATTGGTTATCGTCCGGCAGTGCATTTGGAGACCGGTAGCTATACCCGTCCTCCAGTACACATTCCCGTCGATAGTGGTTATGGCTCAGATGTGGAGACCTTCAGCGCCGGGTATAGACCTAGCTACGGCCCGGGATCCACCGTGAGTGTGCAACGCGTCAATAAGACCATCATTAAGGATCACACCGGCAACGTGATCAGTTTGTCCGGTACCCAGAGCCATAAAAAATGGGTCGATGGTAAATTGGTTTATGACACCGAGAGGCCGTTCGGAGAATGGTCAGTGCCCCGCGATGAAGCCTGGAAACGTGAGGAGCGTGAGCGATTCTTTTGGTTCTTGACTTCGGGTAACACCACCCCTCAAAATCTCGAGGCCTGGGAGCGTCAACAGGAGGAACGCCTTTTGGGCTTGGCCGAACGTAACCACTGCACCCTGGACGATATCCATGCCTTCCATCGTACCGAATTGGAACGTTATCAGATTCTCCTGGCCCAGTACAACTCCCAAACTGATGAACCCGTCGAATGGAAACGCAAGGAACGTGGCCGCCTCGATTGGTTGGTCCATCAGAACAGCATTACCCGTGAAGAGTTGGAACGCTGGCAGCAGGAAAATGCCGATAAACTCAATCAGCTAGCCCGTCAATATCAAGTCCCAGTGCAGGACCTCAAGAACTGGCAGTTGGAGGAATTGGATCGGCTCTATGTCTATTTCAACGATCAAAACAACTCCATGATCCCTCTGCCCACAGATTCGCTACGCACCGATGAACAGCGTCGCCTGGAGGAATTGATCCGTCAACACAATGCCACCATTGATCAGCTACACAATTCCATAAAAATGGATCAAGAAAAGCTCAAGGACCTCTCACAGGTCTACAAGGGTAATGTACAGGATATGGAAAAATGGCTGAAAGAAGAATTGGCCCGCCTCGGCGGAATCATCACCGAGACCCGTGAAGAAATGAATCGTATCACTGAATGGCAAAAATCCGAACGTAGCCGTTTGGAAAATATGGTGAAGCTGCATCAAGGTTCCGTTACCGGTATCGATGAACAAATGGCCAAGGATCGCGTCTATCTCCAAAACCTTGCCAATAAATATCACGTCAGCATTGAAGAGCTCGAGAAATGGCAACGCCAAGAATTGGAACGTCTGCAGAACGAAGGACAAATGCAAATCGAAAAGGGCATCAAGGAATGGCAGCTACGCGAACATGAAAATCTCAAGAAGTTGATTGCCCGCAATGACCTCACCATCGAGGAGTTCCAAACCCAGGTGCTTAACGATCGTCAACGATTGGAGAATTTGGCCCGCACCTATCATGTACAGATTGCCGAAATCGAATCGTGGTTGAAATCGGAAATGAGCCAACTGAAAAATGAAGGCTTTTTGACGGAGGTCAAGAAGGAATTGGAAGACTGGCAGAAGAAGGAACGTGAGCGTTTGATGTTGATTGTCCAGCAGAGTGGTGCCACCGTTCAAGATTTGGAATTGAAAATCAAGGCCGATCAAAGTCATTTGAATAAATTGGCGGCCAATTATAATGTGCAGGTAAGAGAGGGTGGCAAAAATCCCCCAGATAGGCCAGGATTTTTTAAAAATATTTTTTTGAGGTTCCACACGTTGGGCGCCACAATGATAATTAACTAGCCTCATAAAAAGGTACAGTTCAGGGCAGCTGTGTAGGGTAGGAAATGCTGAGGGTCGTCCGAAAACTTTAAATTAAAAAAAATATTAAATTTTGTAGACACCCACGTTGGGCGCCACCATGAAAACTATCAAGAAAATTGAAGTTACGAGGTAGTTGAGAAGTGTGCGAAATTTTCGGTCTCCTCCGACTTCTCTACGATAACAAAATTAAAAAAATCTTTAAATTTTGAATGTCCCCACGTTGGGCGCCACCATGTAAAATAACTTGTTTCGCAGAACATCCAAGTTCCAGGGCAGTTGTGTAGGGTAAGAAATGATAGGCGTCGTCCGACAACTATAAATTAAAAAAAAATCATTAAATTTTTTAGATCCACACGTTGGGCGCCACCATGAAAACTAACAAATTCCGTAGAAAATTTAAGTTTCGAAGTTATATCGGAATTCTCCGACTGTTTTAAATTAGAGAAATGAAAGAAATTCTTTAAATATTGAAAGGCCCCACGTTGGGCGCCACCATGAAAACTAACTGGTTCCGCAGAAAGTTACATTTCTGAGGTTAGTCGGGCATCCTCTGACAGTTTTAAATTAAATGAAGCAAAAAATCGTAAATTTGTCAAAAGCTCCACGTTGGGCGCCGCTATGAAAACCAAGTGGTTCCACAGAAAATTAAATTTCGGAGGTTAAGTGGGCATCCTCTGAAAGTTTTAAATTTAAAAATCAAAAAAAATCATTAATTTTTCACGTTGGGCGCCAACCTGAAAATTAACTGGTTCCACAGAAAATTAAATTTCGGAGGTTTCGGACGGCATCCTCAGACAGTTTTAAAAAAAATAAATAAATAAAAAATCATTAATTTTTCAAAGACCCCACGTTGGGCGCCATTGTGGAAACTAACTGGTTCCGCATAAAGTTACATTTCTGAGGTTACCTGGGCATCTCCTGAAATTTTAAATTAAAAATAAAGCAAAAATTATTAATTTTTCAAAGGGCCCACGTTGGTCGCCATTATGAAAACTAACGGGATCCGCAAAAAGCAAATTTCTGAGGTTTCTTGCGGCATCCCCTGACAGTTTTAAATTAAATGAAGCAAAAACTCATTAATTTTTCAACAACCCAACGTTGGGCGCCATTTTGGAAAGTAACAATTTCTGAGGTAATTGTGCGGGATATGAAATGGCCGGCCAAGGCCTACAATTTGGAATAAAAAATGGAAAAAATTCTTTAAAGTTTGTAAAAAAAATCCCCACGTTGGGCGCCATTGTGAAAATTAATTTTTTATGTTTTTTTGTTTGTTTTTCAGGTCAAAGAAATCGAAGATTGGCTGAAGAATGAATTAATGCGCCTGCAGGCCCAAGGTTTGGTCAAGGTCGAGGACCTCCAGGAATGGCAGAAGACCGAACGTAATGAAATTTTCAAGCTCATCGAAAATAATCGCATAACCATTGAGGAATTTGAAAATAAACTCCTAAACGATCGCCGTAAATTGGCCGATTTGGCAAGGACCTACAATGTCCAAGTCCATGAAATTGAAACCTGGATTAAGAAGGAAGGTGAGCGATTGCAAAATTTGGGTCTGTTGCAGATCAAGGAGCAACTGAATAATTGGCAAATTGTGGAACGTGAGCGTCTGATGAAGTTGCTGCAGGAAAATAACTATTCGATTAAGGAATTGGAGGATAAGTTGAAAAAGGATCAGACCCATTTATATGCCACCGCCAATCAACATCAGGTCCGTGTCGAGGAGATTGAGGAATGGTTGAAAAAGGAAATTAAACGCCTGCAGGATGAAGGTATGCTGGAAATTGAGAAATTGAAGTCGTGGCAGTTGGAATGGCGTGGCAATTTGACCACGATGATTAAGGAGCGGGATTTTACGGTGGAACAGTTCCACAATTGGCTGATGGATGATCGCAAGCGTTTGGAGGCCCTGGCCATGCAGCATAATGTGCAGATTGAGGAAATCGAAGAATGGGTTAAGAATGAGGAGCAGCGTTTCATTAGCATGGGTCTGCTGAAACCGAATGAGAAATTGACCAATTGGCAGGAGGTGGAGCGCAGATACTTGGAGAGGATTACCCAGGAGCAATACCATTCGACCGAGCAGTTGGAACAGAGATTGAGACAGGATCGTGAATTGTTGGAAAAATTGGCCAGGGATTATCAGGTCCAGGTGGCGGAAATTGAGTCATGGATGAAGAAGGAATTGGCCAGGTTGCGCGATGAGGGTCAATTGCAGATTGATAATTTAACTTCGTGGCAGATTGCCGAAAAGGAGAGGTTGGATAAGTTATTGAAGCAGAACAAAAACTGGTCTGTGGAAGAATTTGAAGCAGTGCTGAAACAGGATCGTGAACATATGCAGAACACCGCCTTCCAGTATCATGTCTCGGTGGAGGAAATTGAAAAATGGATCCAAGGAGAAGTGGATCGCCTCCAGCAACAGGGTAAATTGAATATTGAAAAAATGACCCAATGGCAAAAGGATCAATATCAGCGGATTATGAATCTGCTGCAGCAACAATCGAGTATCACCGCCGAGGAATTTGAGACCAAGATTGCCAAGGATCGCACCTTCCTGATGAATCTGGCCAAGCAGTACAATGTCAATATTAACGAAGTTGAGTCCTATGTTCGCAAGGTTATCGAAGATCTGAAGGAGAAGGGTAAATTCGAAATTGAACAGTTGAAGGGTTGGCAAATGGTCGAGCGGGATTATATCAAGAATCTAATTACCCAATATAAAAATTCGCTGAGCACGGAGGAGTATGAAAGGAAATTGAGAAACGATCGGGATCATTTGAAACAGTTGTCAGATTATTATCAGGTTTCGGTAAGGGAAATCGAAGAATGGATGATTAGGGAATTGCAGCGCCTGCGTAAGGATTCCTCCGATCAAATTGCCAAATTGGCCACCTGGCAGCAACAGGAATTGGAAAGGCTAAAGGCCTTGATCCGCGAGAATAGCCGTTTGAATTATGTGCAATTCGAAGTGGAACTGAAGAAGCAGCAGGATCACATACGCCAGTTGTCGCAACAATATTCCGTTAGCGTCGAAGAGGTGGAGCAATGGCTTAGGGAACAGTTACTTAACCTGAAGACAACCGGTCAGGTCCAGGTTGAGAATCTCAGTAAATGGCAGGAGGATGAACAGAAGCGTCTGATCGCCTTATGTCTGCAGCAACAACGTGAGCTGTCCACCGAGGAATTTGAACGTCAGTTGGCCAAGGATCGTGCCAGAATTGAGAAGCTCTCTATGGATTATAACCTCTCCGTGCAGGAAATCGAACAATGGATGAAGGATGAATTGAAGCGGTTGAAGGATTCCGGTTTGGTTCAACTCGATCAGCTTAGCTATTGGCAAAAAATCGAACGCGAACGCCTACTCGACTGGTTGAAGCAACAGAACAAATTGGCCACCTCAGAGGAATTGGATAATTTCATTAAGCGCGATAAGGAACGTTTGGAGCGCATTGCTCAGGATTATCATGTCACCGTGGAGGAGATTGAAAGCTGGATTGAACAGGAAGGAGCTCGCCTACAAATGTTGGGTGTGATTCGTGGACCGGGTAGTTTCAGCCACACCATTGAAAGGCAATGGAATGTCACCACAAATTATCCAGGCTACGTCGTCCCCTTGGCCCCTACCCGTCAACCTGCCCCCCAACCTCACAACTGGGATCAATACAACACCGAAGAGGTATGGAAGGAACAGACCAAGGCCCATTTGGTGGCTGTAGCCCAAGGGCGTCCTATGTCGTGGCAGGAATTTGAAAAATATTTGCGTGACGAAAGGCCCCGATTCGAGCAGTATGCCCGCCAATTCCACGTCACCGTTGAAACCATTGAAAATTGGTTGAGAACCGTGGCCCAAGACCTTACCAAGCAGGGTTTTATCCATGGCCAGGGCAACGTGGAGGAATGGCAGACCGTGGAATATAGTTATCTGCAACAATTGCTGCAGCAGAGGCCTCAGGGTAAACAATGGTCCTATGAAGAATTGGAGCGCCAGTTGCGTAATGATCGCCAACATTTGGAGCAGTTAGCCCGTCAGTATCACACCACCACGGAGGACATCATCAATTGGTATCTTCTGGAGTTACAAAAATTGCTGCAACAACAAAAAATCGTATCGGAAAATCTTACCACCTGGCAAAGGGATGAAAAAGATCGGATCTATCAATTGGTCCAGTCGAAACCCTATCAAAGCTATCAACAATGGGAAGCGGAACTACTGAGGGATCAAACCGCCCTTAATCGCATCTGTGATCAGTATCATGTGACCATCGAAGAGGTTGAAATTTGGATCCGCCAGGAGCTACAACGTCTTGTGAATTTGGGACTCATCAGAAACTCCTCTCAAGGTGGCTCATCCTCTCAGGCCCTCAACAAAAACTGGCAAGATGAAGAACGCCGCCGTTTGCGCACCATTGCCTCGGATATCTCCATAACCGAAGAGGAATTCCTCGAATTCATTGCCTCCGATGATGACTTCCAGCAACATTTGACCCGTCTCTATGGTTGCACCCTACAAGAATTGGTACCCTTCCAAAACATCGAAATCGGTAAAATGAATCGTGAAGGTCTGTTGGATCGTACCCAACTCCTTAAGGTCGAACCTTGGCAAAAAACCGAACGTGAACGTCTCTATTCCTTTATCAAGGATAAGAGCTACACCCTGGATAACCTGAAAAATTGGCAAAAGCAAGAGATGGCCTTCACCCGTTTGGCCAGCCACTATGGCATTACCACTCAGACCCTTAAAGACTGGCAATTGGAGGAGTTCCAAAGGCTACAAAATCTCGCCCATTTCTATCAAATGAATCTCAATCAATTGCAGGATTTCCGTGAAAAGGAATTACGTTACCTCACCTATGTTATGCACAAGAAGATCAGCTCCGCCGAGGAACAAAATCGTTGGGCCCACTCGGAAATGGCCCGCATGAATGTTTTGCAACGTAAGGTCAACCTGAGTGGCGAACAATTGCAGCAATGGCGTAGACGCCTTTACCTCCTCGCTCAGGCCCGTCTACCCTTCTCCTATGGCGGTTCGGGCGGCTATGTCTATGGTGAATTGCCCACCAACAGGACTGGATATTATCCCAAAATAAGCAAAGATCGTGGAGATCAACCCCCCAATGTGTTCGATGAACAAATGGACCCCAATGAGCCCGGTGTAGCCGGTAAGGATCCTCTATATCCACCACCACCAGCTAAGTTGCATGAGGATGTCCAATATTCATATGGCAACTCTGGTGGTAATCGTTATGGTATGCATTATGGTGGCCACTATTCGATGCAAGCTGATTCGGCCGATTTGGGACAACAACAACAGGTTGAAGAGGATCTCAGTGATTTTGCCAAACAACATGCACAACATGTTGAGGTGGAGGACTTGGACGGGACATTTACCTCAGCCCAGAGTCCATACTATCATAAACAACAAACAAATGAGAAGCAGATAATGGTGAGTAGCAAAACAATATTTTTGGAGACCTTAAAATAGGTGTGGATTTTTAAATTTTTGGAGACCTTAAAATTGACGAGGATATTTTAAAATTAATTTTTGGAGACCTTAAATTTTTTTGGAGACTTTAAAATGGGCGTGGATTTTTTTTAAATTAATTTTTGGAGACCTTAACATTTTTTTGGAGACTTTAAAATAGGCGTGGAATTTTTTAAAATAAATTTTTGGAGACCTTAACATTTTTTGGAGACTTTAAAATGGGCGTGAATTTTTTAAAAATTAATTTTTGGAGACCATTTTTGGAGACCTTAAAATAGACGAGGATATTTTAAAATTTAACATTTTTTGGAGACTTTAAAATGGGCGTGGATTTTTTTAAATTAATTTTTGGAGACCTTAACATTGTTGGAGACCTTAAAACGGACGAGGATATTTTAAAATTAATTCTTGGAGACCTTAACATTTTTGAAGACTTTCAAATGGGTGTGGATTTTTTTAAATTAGTTTTTGGAGACCTTAACATTAATGGAGATCTTAAAATAGAAGAGGATATTTTAAAATTAATTTTTGAAGACCTTTACATTTTTTGGAGACTTTAAAATGGACGTAGAATTTTTTAAATTAATTTTTGGAAACTTGGATTTTTAAAAACTAAATTTTGGAGACCTTAAAATAGACGAGGATATTTTAGAATAATTATTGGAGACCTTATTTTTGGAGACTTTAAAATAGGCGTGGATATTTTTAAAATTAATTTTTGGAGACCTTAACATTATTGGAGATCTTAAAATAGACGAGGATATTTTAAAATTAATTTTTGGAGACCTTAACATTTTTGGAGACTTTAAAATGGACGTGGAGTTTTTTAAATTATTTGTTGGAGACCTGGATTTTTTTAAATTAATTTTTGGAGACTTACATATTTTTTTAATTAATTTTTGGAGACAAGGTTTTTTTTAATTAATTTTGGGAGACTTGGATATTTTTAAATTAATTTTTGGAGACTTGCATTTTTTAAAATTAATTTTTAATAGGGATAGTGGATTTTTTATAATTATATTTTGGAGACCTGAATTTTTTTAAATTAATTTTTAATAGGCGTGGATTTTTTAAAATTAATTTTTGGAGACTTGGATTTTTTTAAATTAATTTTTGTAGACTTGGATTTTTTAAAATTAATTTTTAAAGACTTGGATTTTTTTCAAACTAATTTTTGTAGACTTGGATTTTTTTTAATTAATTTTTGGAGACTTGGATTTTTTTTAATTAATTGTTGGAGACTTGGATTTTTTTAATTAATTTTTGGAGACTTGGATTTTTTCAAAATTAATTTTTGGAGACTTGGATTTTTTTAAATTAATTTCTAATAGGCGTTGATTTTTTAAAATAAATTTATGAAGACTTGGATTTTTTTAAATTAATTTTTAATAGGCGTGGATTTTTTTAAATTAATTTTTGGAGACTTGGTTTTTTTAAATTAATTTTTGGAGACTTGGATTTTTTTTAAATTAATTTTTGGGGAAGTGGATTTCTTTAAATTAATTTTTGGAGACTTGGATTTTTTTTTAATTAATTTTTGGAGACTTGGATTTTTTAAAATTATAGTTGGAGACCTGGATTTCTTTAAATTAATTTTTGGAGACTTGGATTTTTTTTTAATTAATTTTTGGAGAAGTGGATTTCTTTAAATTAATTTTTGGAGACTTGGATTTTTTTAAATAATTTTTGGAGAAGTGGATTTCTTTAAATTAATTTTTGGAGACTTGGATTTTTTTAAATTAGTTTTTGGAGACTTGGATTTTTTTAAATTAATTTTTAGATTTAAAAAAAAAATATTTTTTTTTATATTTCGATAAATACTAATTTCTCCCCTTTCTCTATATTCCAGACAACTGAGGTCCAAGCTGAAACCGAAAAACCCGGATTCTTTGCCAACATTAAAAGTAAAATATTCGGTTAAATACTCGTAGCTGCCAAACCCTACCCAGCCACATATTCACCCACACTCTCTATTTGATTTACTGCAATGCCATATTAATTATTTTTTTTAAGAATATTTTTTTATATAACGATTTTCAATTTTGTTTTAACATATTATTTTATTTTTAAAAAATTGTTTTATTTTTTATAATTTGTTTTTTAACTAGTCAGTAAGCGAATAATGTGGATTGATCATTATAATAATGGAAAATGATGAAGAGATTAATTTTTGTAAAAAAATAAAAATAAATAATAAAAATAAAATTAAAAAAAAAATATTTAAAAAATATACAAATTTATTATTTATTTATATAGGGGATTTTTTTTTTAAATTACTTTTTTGAGCCATTCATTTAATTATTTTTTTATTTTAGTTGCCTATATATGATTTTTTAAATTCTTATCTCTTACTACAACCTTAATTCTAAGTTCTTACTACACCCTTGAAAGTCTACCACCCCATTCTCCCAATAAAAATGACGCACTCTCACACCTTTGTGCAAAATATCATGCTTTATTCTGTTCCATTTCCCCATTGATGTTGTAATTCTCATTCAATGAATCAGCTCAGCTCCCCTCTCACCTTCTACCAAAATCTGTCAACCACTCAATCTAATAGCCGAATTTCTGTCTCAAAGTACAGCAGTATATACGTGATGCTATTTTCTACTACATCACCCATGCATTCTCCAATAAACACCCACCCCCACCGTTTATTCACCTACGCTCTCCATATGCATATTCTCCTCCTGCTTCTCTCAAAATATAAGCACCTGTTTTTCTTTTACTTCATTGAAATACTCCTTTGAAAGTCTTATTTTTTCATTGATCATCATCATGTCGTATGCAAAGACAATTTACTCTGACTCTCCCTCTCTCTCAAACAGATTCCCCGGCTCTGAGTGCCAAATAACAGTACCTGTTGCTTGTCGTTGATTCTTCGTCTCACAATGCCTTTGCCAATTTGGCAGTTAGTTTTCGTTGAACTATTAAATCGTGCGTACGTTTTTTCAAAAAGGCTCCATATTTTGTTTAAAAAAACATGCATTTTATTATAAGAAGTGTGTTAAAATCAATATGATTTAATTATTTGTGTAAGAATATATCGAATTAATGTGTTAATTGTTTAAATAAAATAGTCTGAAATAATAATTTCTTAAGGAATAAAAACATGCATATATATAAAAGAGCTTAGTGTTAAGTGAGTGAGTGAGTGACTGACTGACAGATCATCGCCCAGACGAAACGGCTAAAGCTAGAAGCTTGAAATTTTGAGTGTGGGTTGTTGTTGGTGTTTAGGCGTGAGATAAGGCTGGGTTTTTGGAGATTCGTACTAGAAGGGTACGAAAAGTACTAAAATGTACGAAATATGGTACCCTTTGTATTAGGCGAACGGGAAGAGCTAGAATTCTGAAATTTGGAATGTGGGTCACTGATGGAAAGTTAGAAAGATGTACAAAAGGGGTTTTTGGAAATTCGACCTATAAGTGTACTAAAAGTACTAAATGTAGTTCTAATTCTACATATATTGAACATATATAGCTAAAATCTTGAAATTTTATATATGAAATTTGGAAGTAAGATTACAGTTGAAATTCGCATTTATATGTACGAAAAGTACTAAACGGAACTAAATTTGGTACAATTTGGATTTGGGTGAATGGAGAGATCTGGAAACCTAAAATTTGGAATAGTGGTTGCTGTTGGTATATAGAATTGAGATATGGAAGCATAGTACTTATGTGTACTAAATGGTTCTATATTTGGCACAACTTAATTATGTGTGAACGGATAGAGCTGGACTCCAGAATTTTCGAATTAAAAATACTATTGGAGTGTACAAAAAAAAGTACTAACTGGTACCAAATGGTTTACAAATTGTTGAACAATTGTGTGAATGGATAGGGCCGAGATCCTGAAATTATGAATTAATATAACAGTTTGAATGCAGGATTGAGATATGTGGGTAGTTTTGAAAATTCGTAATACGTGTACTAAATGGTACTAAATTTGGTACAATATAGATTTGAGTGAACGGTTAGAGATGGAAAACTTAAAATTGGAATGAAAAATTACAGATTTAAGGTAGTATTGGAATTATGTACTTATGGATACGAGAAGCACAAAATGGTACTAAATATGTTACAATTTGTTTTGTGTGAGCGGGAATCATAAAATTTTGAATTAAAATTAAGGATTGGATTGTAGGATGAGACATGGAGTTAGTTTTAAAAATGCGTAATTATGTGTACTAAATGGTACTAAGTTTAGTACAATTCAGATTTGAATAAAAGGATAGAGATGGAAAACGTATATTTAAAAACCAGTAAGGAAAGTAGTAAAGTCGGACTGTATGATACCCTTCACCACTTTGGGTATATTCTACATATGTATCCGAAAAGACGTCGCCTTTTTTAAGGAATTTTGACATGAAATCGAACGAACTTAAATATGTGATTTTAATGTCTTTCTGGAACCTATGCTAAATTTCATTTCATTTGGGCAAGTTTAGAGTCGTTTGCGCTCAGTGGGACAGATTTGTGTAAATCGATTTAAAGCCAACTTGACAAACTCTATTCGGTATGCTGCACTGTTTAAAATTTAATCTCAATCAGACACCTATTGATTATGTGGTATACAATAAACATAAATAATTCGAAATTATATATGGAAGCTACGATATATCTATGCCAATAAAAAAATTAGCAAAGACTTTGGTGCACAATTTACCTAAAATCGGGTGAAACTATATATGGAAGCTATATCTAAATCTGCACCGATTTTCACAAAACTTAGCATACGCCATTCTAGATTTAATTCAATACGCTATGCCACAATTCGTACAAATCAAATGATTTTCAGAGACTTTGGTGCATAAATCGACTCAGAAAGTGAGTCTATGCATATTCTCAAAAGGAACCATTGGTCTATCTCGATTATTTTTGCCTGTTACAAATATATGCACAAAGACATAATACCCTGTACCACAGTGTTGTGAAGGGTATAATAAAATTACTGTTAGAATACAGGATTGAGACAGTGTTGGAAATTCGAACTCATATGTACTAAATATGGTACAATTTGGATCTATATGAACGGATAGGGCTGGGATCCTGAAATTTGTCATTAAAAATAAAGTTTTGGAGTGTGAAATTGAGAAGTTTTAGAACCTCCTACTAACGTCTACGAAAAGTAATAAATGATACTAAATTTGATACAATTTGGATGCTGGTGAACGGATAGAGCTGGGATATTTAAATGTGCACTTAAGGTTATTATTGGAGTGCATGACTGAGGTAGTTTTGGAAATTCGTACTTATGGGTACGAAAAGCACAAAATTTGGTACAATGTGGACTTGAGTGAACGGTTAGAACTCGAATTCTGAAAGCTGCCACTTAGGTTACTGTGGGAGTGTATGAAAAGTACAGAATTGTACCAAATCTGGTACAATTTGGAGAACAGACAGAGCTGAAATTCTTAAATTTGAACTTACGATTGCTATTTTAAAGCAGGTCTCATGAAAAAGCACTGGCGCTATTTGTAGATGTTGGACATATCAAGTACACATGGAATTTGTCAAAGAGAGCCGCTAAAGGGTCGATATATATCCATGCTACGACAAACTGCGTTGTCGTAGCATTGACACTATCCTAGTGACACTATCCTAGTGTCATGACGGTCACTGATAATTTCGCTGAAGTACCATTACAAACCATATGATTGCTAGGATTATTGAAGCACGCCCAGAAAGTTTTCAAAATCAAATAATAATAACACCCAATTAACTGATACTTTGGTACCATTTAACTGATACCTTGGTATAATGTCCGAAGAAGCTCTTGAAGCCAGGAACAAGGACTATCGAAACATACGCTAGAGCAATACAAGGAAAAATTTAAGGAAAAATATTATGGAAGATATCATAAATGATTTATTAGTTTCGTCAGACCCTTTGATATCTTCATTGTCAAATGGGTTTCAATTTCGTCTGCAAAAAAATATTATTATAGACGATGATGTCAAGAGCTATCTTTTAATGAAACATCCAGATATGTCTGATTCTGATTCAGAAGATAATTTTGATTTATAAAGTTTATTTATTGAAGTTAAAAAAATTAAATAAAAAAAAATTAAAAAAAAATTTAAACAATTTTTTTTCTTAAAAAAATCTATGACTGTTTTCTGAGCTGTGAAAAAAAAAACGGCTGAAGATATCGTTTTTCGTTTAAAAGTTACTAACAAGGCCCAATCGCCAACTGTGTTTGGAAGTAATTGATACTAAATTTAGTGGTGGTGATGGTATGGAGGTAGTCTTAAAAATGTGTACCTATATGCTCGAAAAGTAATAAATGAAACTATATGTGGAACCTGTACGTATTTGCTAAAATCTGATCTATTTATACCCTTCACCACACTGTGGTACAGGATATTATGTCTTTGTGCATATGTTTGTAACAGACAAAAGGAAACGAGATAGACACATGGTTCCTTTTGCATAGAATCACTTTTTAAGCCGATTTATGCATGTCCGTCCGTCTGTATGTCCATATAAAATTGTGAACAAAGTACAGGTCGCATTTATGATCCTAATTGGATGAAATTTGGCATAGGTCTCTTATTTGGCCCAAGGACGAACCCCATTGAAATTGGAAAAAATTTATGATCCGAATTGGATGAAATTTGGCATAGGTCTCTTATTTGGCCCAAGGACGAACCCCATTGAAATTGGAAAAAATCAGTTCAGATTTAGATATAGCACCCATATATATTTTCGTCCGATTTAATGTAAATGGTGTACCAAAGTCCCTATATATCTTTCGATTTGCACGAAATTTGAAACAGCGTACTGAATAAGGTCTTTAAGGCCTTTAACCGCTTCTAACGCCTAAAAAAAGCATTTTAATTTTCTGTGGTCTAAAAAGACATTTTAAGGCCTTTAAACGCTTCTAACGCCTAGAAAACGCATTTTAATTATCTGT